CGCTTTCCGGACATATTTACGAAAAGCCTATTTGACGGAAGGTGGGGATCATTACGGCAATTATCCCCCTGATGATTATACCTTCATAGAGCGAGAGCATTGGGAGGAGTTTCTGATCCAGATGGGGACTCCGGAAGCTAAGGTAAACCATAATTGCCTTCATTGAATGAATTTATTACTTGACATATTAATTTATTTTTAACAATTCTTTTAGGCTTTGAGCGATAAGAATAGGGATATACAGAAGAAGAATTCCTATCCGCATTTTATGGGCCGAGGTGGATATGCCATGCTTTTGCGTGAGTTGGCAGTTGGTTCTCAGGCCAACACTAGTACTTCTGCTGATATCGCTGGTTCGTCTACAGAGAAGAGTTCTCAGCTGGGACGAGAGGACACTTGGTTGCGAGGTCACACCCCGGGGAGGCAGGCAGAAGTTACGGACCCTGCACTGATGGAGATTCGTGATAGGATAGTAAGCATATAATCTACAATTGCGTCAATATATATGTTTATTACTTGTTTATTATTTGCTTACAATTTCTTTACTTCTTTTCTTTCTTAATTGTAGGTTCAGCTAAAGAAAGAGGTCGCAGTCGGTACCTTTGTTCCAAATGGGCACAATGATGTTCTGACTAGAGCTTTAGGGTCTGCCGAGCACCCAGGACGGACGAGGGGTGTTGGGTCATATTCGGGCTTACGTAAAGTTTTTAATGGCAACATGAAGCCTCGTAAGCCCGAAGGTAACTATTTGACTGAGGATGATCTTTTGCAGCGTCTTCCTTCCCTTCTACAGCAGTATGTACTATCTGTGTCCGGGAGTGCTCCAGAAGGGGCATCCATGTCGCAGCACACACCGTCTGTACCACCTCATTATGAGCTTCAGCGTAGTAGCAAGGCGTCTACAGATTTTGTTGACGTCGCCGGTGTCACTGAGGTACATATATTTTTTAATTAAGGTTTCCCGTTTAGTTTACGTTTACTTGTTTCCGAAAATAGTTTACTAATTGTATTTTGTAGGTTTCTCCTTGTTACTTGAGGATCTCTGATCCATCAGATTACATAGTGGCACATGGATTGGTTTTCCCACGTGCACCGGGAGATATGGTGCACGGTGTTCCCCTCCTTCCCCACCAGGTTAAGGTCTCTGTGACCCTTTTGCTTCCTGGAATGGGTGAATATACCATTCCTTGTCCGACTGAGCATATAGAGACTGTGGCCGATTGCTTGGGAAGCTTCGTTGCATGGCCTAAGTCATTGGGTGAATATACCATTCCTTGTCCATTCCTTTTTTTATTAAACATCATTTGGGCTGTGTTTCATATATAAATTTTTTAAAAATATTCGTAGCCCCCAGTGCAGACGGCTCAACATGACGACTTCTCATCAAGCAAATCTCGTCCCATTCTCGGGGTACGTCCCACTGCTCCTAGATCTCCCGTACAAGATGTTGTTGACCAGAGCTTATACGTCACTTTCGGGCCGAGGTGCAGAGAGTTGTGT